ACTCCCTGCGCTGATCGAGTAGTGTCTGTTGCGCGAAGGGCATAGGCTGTGCTTGAGCAAAGTCAATCATGGGACTGATTGTAGTGACAGCCCGTGCATGTGCTTCAGGTTTCCTTGAAACGGGCCGACTTCCGAGTCTTGTATACACCGACCGGGGTGGCCAGAGGGCGGCTGGCTAATGAGGACAGAGATATCTCTAGTCATTCGACCACTGGTTTACGGGGCGACCCAGTGGATAATAAAAGGCCAGGCGAGATGTATCCCACGACAGAAGAAGTGCGCGTGAGTGACAAAAGAACCACGGGTTGGAGCATGGCAGGCGGATTAAGTCAACTTTCTTTTCTTTTTGTTCTTGTTTCCCTGGACCAAGGATCCTCTGCCTGTCTGTCTAATCATGTCCGAAGCTAGGTAATCTGATCGACATTGCCCAACCAGACAGCCAAGGCTGTTATTCCTTGCTGTGCACTATCAAGCTATATCGACAAGAAGCTATATAGTATCGGCTGTACTATAGTCGCTCGCGACAAGGGATCGCAGTGTCAGGAAACCGAAGTAAATCTCACCGCGGAAATCATACCGACGGTGGATTGCTGAGATATAAACAAGTCGAGCACGGCCGAGGTGGATTTGCCTTCGCCCGAGTGATTTTGATATCCATACCCAAGAAAGAGCCTGAAAGCTGCATGTCCAAGGCTATCCGAGAATTCGTCCATCTAGCAACAACGATGACCCAACCGGATAAGACCTCGACTTAGATTAAGAACCTCATCCTTCTGCCCATGACGCCAAGCCCGTATATCTTAGTAGAGCCCACCCCAGGAACCATTGGCCCAGCCGCTGAAGATTTTTTGATGCGCAGCTTCCAGCGCCCAACTCACTAGTTACGTTCACGGTGCACAGCAGGAAAGGCGGTACGTGTGCGAATATCACCGGCATTCCCAACCTACCATGAGCCATCCCCCCCAGAGGATAGAAAAAGAACCCAGCATAAGTGTGAAACGGGGTCGATTTATGTCGCGCATGAACACTCACGTGTCCAATTGCAATCAAGGTACAAGCAAGGAAAACAAAAATTGCACGAAGTCTCTAACAGAGGTAGCACTTACCCGTCTTCTTTAATACCAGTGCCTCGAGGCTCGGACTCACCACCACCAGACATGGCATGATGTGCACGTCCAGTACCTACATGATCCGTGCCGTTCTGGTGGACTCCTTGATACGGGTGATGGTATGAAGCGTCCGTCTCGAATTCGATCGGGCCAGTTTCAACAGACTGAATAGGGATTTGGGAAGGATTGATAGGTGCAGCCGAGGGCATAGGATCGACAGATTTTGAAGTTTCCGTACTGGGTATGGTATGGCTTGTATTGTCGTCGGCTTCATAGCTAGAAAGAAAACATAGAGTTTAGAAACTGCCTAGACAATCCCGGTAGAATGGAGCACCCTACAGATCCGCGAAAAGATCTTCCTCAACGTCCTCGGGTTCAGCCATGGTGATCTTGTAACAGAGAAATTCAGGTAAGAATCAGGTCGCACGGAGGACAGGAAAGAAAGGTGATCAAGGTGACCAACTCTGAGATGGAGGCAACCGAGCCAGTCAAATCCGACCTAGAGAGGTATCAACGAACCGATGGCGACGAACTATTATCGCCAAAATATTGCCTCGGTGGAGATGGTAAGAAAAACAACTAATGAAGTAAAGAGAAGGAAAAGGAGAGCAACAAGAGCAAGGGTGAAGTGGGTTAGTCGTAGAGACAGGGAGCAGAGAGGGAGGGAGGAAGAAAGAGGTGGAGGAGAGGAGAGGAGAAGCAGCTACACGGCGGAGGTTGAGGCGAGAGCGACGGGGAGAGAGAGAGAGTCAAGAGTGACGGACTGGCTGACTGGGCAAGTACGCTGTGCTGGTACTGTAAGAGATTCCCGTCGGTAATAATATGTATTGTACTGTAATGGATCCTGGCCATCGGTAAGGAACCTTAAAAGTACTATGTACGGAGTAGTAGGTATGAAATTATGACAATTCAACCTGCAAGAGTAAATGGATGCATATTGAAATTTTTAAAATTAAAGAATACTCATTAATTATGACTATACGTGACTCTAGTATATAGATCTGCATTCTAAATTATCGGAAAATATAATCTACCAAGATCTCACCATTTTGGGAGGTACTGCTTCCTCACAGTACCTGACGAAAGCTACCAGGTGGGTATTGTCCGTAAGGGCTAGTATCAGTAGTCAGTAGACCTTTACGCAAGACCTTATCGAGTGCCATCCCCCGACCAGCAAAACATCATCAGAAGACTACGAAGTAAGTATTATGGCATGACAGACCACCAACTCCAATTACAATTACCCTGATTCCACCCCCGCGCAGAGATCTGTAAGCCAAAAAGGTAGATCAATCCAGATCAACGTTGTTCTTTCGGGGTGTTGTTGCTGGGAAACCCCTGCCAGCTTTGGACGCAGCACCGAATCCACGTGCCGCAGCCCTCCCCGCACTCGGCTTCCGTGCTTCTCTCCATGTTATTCAATCCCCAAGACCTGCTCAATTGATGCTATCGTTGCCTCCGCACTCCTTAAAAACGCAATGGCTGCGAGGAAGGGCCAACAGGTGAGTCTGACCTTAGCTTCATAAGCCTGATTTCTTTCAGTTTTTTATGCAATATCTAGCTAACCCAATCGCTTTTGACTCTCTGTAGGAGATGGTCCAGGTTGGTTCGTACCTCTCACACCCCCGTCTTTTGGGTTCCAGATCCAGTGGCTGATATAGCTCCCCCACTTCCAATGAACAGACCGTGCTGAGTATGTTTCACTCCCCATCGCTCAATTTCGCCTTGTGGACCATTGAAGGCATCTCATAGCATCTATTTTTGAGTTTCTCGCGCTAATCCTCCCCTGAAAGGCGGGTGAATTCGCCGTTCTGGAAGGGAAGATCGGTATCCCATAATCAAGCGGCCTCGACGCAACATGAGCAGAACACGGTTGTTGGTGCCTCATACTCGCACGCCGACATACTAAAGTTAGTACATTGCATGTCATTTGGTTTTTTCCTCTCTTCGCGCTTGGCTCTTTCATTTCATTGACCTGTGCGCCTCCCCCAATAGAGGGATCTCCCAGCAGCATGCGCGCCCGCGGACACCGCCTCGGTCATCCTCTGCCAATATCCAACCCACGTCGCTTTCACCCCTACGGTCGGGCGGGTGGTCTACGTCCCCTCATACTACTTCCTACTCTGACATAATGAATGGCGGGATCGATTCCTGGGGCCCCGACCGATTGGGAGAAGATTATGAAGATGAAGAGGGGGAGGAAGACATTGTCTACGATGACGATGAGGACGAGTTTGGTCTCCCTAGTATTACCAGCATGCGGAAGAAACAGTCGCAGCGAGCTGGCACTTCTCAGCTTAAGCCTGCTGACCCAGGTGGGGGGCTTGCTAGTACCGCCTCATCACTCGGGGTTGGTTTAGGAACCAATCGGCAACGGGCCAATAGTTCGGACATCGCTGAAGAGCGCGGTGTCCCTATGTATCCTACTGCTGGAACTGGGGAGGGTAAGATACTGCGACCTCAGTATAAAGAAATCCTGAAAGGTATGAAACTGTCCTCGTTATAACGCTGGAACGTACTAACCTCTTTTTTTCAGACCCCGCCAACGCCTTGAACCTCATAAACCACGCGCCCCCTCCCAAAAATGCATCGCCCAAAGAGCTGGATATGTACAACAGCCGCATCTCGAGAATAAACAAGTTCAAACGTCTTCTCCAGACAAGCACCGTTCCCTTGTCAGATCTGAGGAATCTGGCCTGGTCAGGGGTCCCCGATGAAGTTCGCGCGATGACCTGGCAGCTGCTCCTTGGATACCTCCCCACGAATAGTGAAAGGCGCATTCCTACCCTCGAAAGAAAGCGTAAGGAATATTTGGACGGGGTTCGACAAGCCTTCGAACGCGGGAGTGCGGCTGGTTCTGGAAATCCGCCTTCGTCGAGCGCTGGGCGTGGCAGGGGCCTGGATGAGGCAATATGGCATCAAATCAGCATTGATGTTCCTCGGACTAGCCCTCATATTCAACTTTACAGCTACGAAGCTACTCAACGATCGTTGGAAAAGATCCTCTATGTTTGGGCTATCCGACACCCGGCGAGCGGATACGTGCAAGGTATCAATGACCTCGTCACACCGTTCTGGCAGGTCTTTTTGGGCACGTATGTAACTGATCTTAATGTTGAGAGGGGCATGGATCCTGGCCAGTTGCCCAGGAGTGTGCTGGATGCCGTGGAGGCAGATACGTTCTGGTGTCTTACCAAGTTACTTGATGGTATTCAGGACAATTATATCTATGCTCAACCGGGTATTCACCGACAAGTTAGGGCACTGCGTGATTTGACGATGCGCATTGATTCTACACTGGCCAAGCACTTGGAGCAGGAGGGAGTAGAGTTCATGCAGTTCAGTTTCCGGTGGATGAACTGTCTTCTCATGCGTGAGATGAGTGTACAAAATACTATACGGATGTGGGACACGTATATGGTGAGGCAAACCAAGGTTATCCCTATTGCACCAGATGTAGATCAGGTATGCTGACCATATCATTAGGCAGAGGAGCAGGGTTTCTCGAGGTTTCACCTATACGTTTGTGCAGCCTTCCTTGTGAAATGGTCAGACCAGCTGGTGAAGATGGATTTCCAGGTGGGTATAATTTTAAAGGTTCTGGATACCGTACAGTCAATGCTAAACGACAATAGGAGATAATGATGTTTCTGCAAGCACTTCCCACAAAGGATTGGACGGATAAAGATGTGGAACTCTTGCTGAGCGAAGCATTCATCTGGCAAAGTCTCTTCCAGGACTCTAGGGCTCATCTTCGTCCGGCTGGAGAACGAACTCCAGAGGATGACCTGCAGTGACGACAGTCATGAGTCATTAATAATATCACCTGTTTCATTAGTATATGGCGTTCCGAAAAGGAGACGTAATCTCCGATTCCCAGGCTTATTAGCCTCAGCTGAAATGGAAGCCCTTCTGGTTGAAGGCCCACAATAACTTCAGGAAGTCGTTTTCATCGCACATCCTTGCACGCTTGTCGGCAAGGCGTGTTTCATCTTCCAACACCTGCCGTACCTTCTCCCGGACGAGCTCTGCTACCTTTCCCTTCTTCTTACGACTAGGCCGATTCTTAAGAGCCTCTTGAATACGCGCGTTCGTCTGTTCCTTGAAGAAGTCGGGTACGTCGTCTTCATCGTCCACGTCCATGCCCTCGTCAGGCTCGTCTTCACCCTCATCATCTTCCTCGTCTTGCGCGTTGCCAATGTCCATCGCATCAGACTCAGCGCCTTCCGCCGGCCCATCCTCAACTGGAATATCGTTCTGCGCACACCATGTCCGATAATTGGCTTCCAACATATCCATGACTGTGGACTTGCCAAGGAAACTTGACCGAATTGTCTTGTTCTTCCGGACGAATAGGATTCTCAGAAGCCCGTCCCACTCATCATAGTTGATTTGAGGCCTGGGGTTTTTAGGTACCAGACGGACAACGCTCGACTCGACCAGCGGAGGGGGCTTGAAATTGTTCTTGCCCACCTTCATGACGTGGTCGATCTTAGCCCACATCTGAGCATTGACAGAGAGTCGACTGTAGAGCTTATCGCCTGGCTTAGCGAACAATCTTAGAGCAAACTCTCGTTGAAACATGAGAACGCAAATGCGGGGCGCCGGAGAAGTCGCGAGAAGTTTGAATGTGAGGGGAGAGGAGATCTAGCGGGCAACTAATTAGCCTTTCTTCCACTTCGAAGAGATAGATAGAGTATAGAACGTACCTGATACGGCGTGTTACTGATGCAAACATCGAAATATGGAAGCTCTGTTTTGATCACGTCTCCAAGGATAACGTCTAAGCGTTTCTGGGCAGGTGTGCCTTGAACACGCTTGGTGACTTCAGCAGCCATTCGAGGGTCGAGCTCCACGGCGATAACTTTCTTTGCCTGTTCGAGGATCTTCACGGTCAAGTTACCGGTACCAGGACCAATTTCGAGAACAACCTATACAAGAGAGCCCCACCCAGGTTAGACAAATCCGTAGAGTACATGGGACAACTATGTGGGCAACTTACATCGCTCTGTTTCAACTCGGCTTTGTCGACAATTCGTTGAGCCACGCCAGGGTTTTTCAGAATGTGCTGACCGAGATCGGTATTCATTTTGAAGACGGTGTTGGCGGCCTTCGTCTTCGCCGCCGCATCGGCATAGGGACTGGCCTTCGAAGCGCTATTGCGCTTCTGCTGTTTGACCTTAGGCATCCTGACAGATTGAGTCGCGAGGCCTCCAAATGAGCAGTCCAAATCCTCACGAGACAACCTTTTTTGGAGGGGTATATCCTAAACGGGTTATCGCTTCTCTGTCTTTGTCTTTGGGCTTGAACAAAAAAAAGTGCGGAGGGTTTCTGATAAGATTAGCGGCTCGGAACTACGTTTCTGCGGCTGCCCGGCGTTTCGCTCATCGTCGGAGGGCTCTTGCCATCCGCATTGCTCTTGCGAACAGCTTTCCCAGCTCTTCCTCAGTCACACTCCCGGTTCCCTGGTCTGTATACCTCGTTCGCCATGGCGTCTGGGCGTAAGGACTTTTTGAGCCAAACCGCTCCCGAGAACTACGTCGCCGGTCTTGGTCGCGGTGCCACTGGCTTCACCACCCGTTCAGATCTCGGACCCGCGCGAGAAGGCCCCACGCCAGAACAGATCCAGGCGGCGCTGGCAAAACGGGCCCAGCTGCTTGGAGCTGCTCCTCCCACAGCTTATGGCGCAGGGCGAGAGAAGGGCGGTAAAGATGAAAAGCCGGACGAAGAGGAAGATGACGAGCGGTTTCAGGATCCGGACAATGAAGTCGGGCTATTCGCCTACGGTCAATTCGACCAAGAGGATGACGAGGCGGACCGCATCTACAGAGAGGTGGATGAAAAGATGGACAAGCGCCGGAAGATGAGAAGGTTAGTTTTCCGCCCTTTTGCCTCCCCTTCTGCTATTTTTATGAAGCGATTTGTTCATCCGCTTCTCCATATGCGGTTTGTTTGGACAGATTACCGACGTAATTCCTCCACCATTCACAGGGAAGCTCGCGAACAGCAAGAACGAGAAGACTACGAACGCAAAAATCCCAAGATCCAGCAGCAATTTGCAGATCTAAAACGATCCTTAGCCTCGGTCTCCGAGGACGAGTGGGCTAACCTCCCGGAGGTGGGAGATCTCACCGGAAAAAACCGACGCGCAAAGCAGAACCTTCGGCAGAGATTCTACGCAGTACCGGACAGTGTGATCGCGAGCGCAAGAGACTCGACCCAATTTGAGACAACAATTGCGGAGGATGGGACCCAGACGGCAGCCAATGGAGCGGAGGCAGCTGATGGGACAATCACCAATTTCGCAGACATCAGTGCTGCGCGCGATAAGGTCCTGAAGGTCAGGCTCGACCAAGCCGCCATGGGATCATCTGGGGATTCTGCCTCTGGAAGCGCTACCAACATCGACCCGAAGGGCTACCTTACAAGTCTCACGCAATCTGAGCTGAAAGCTGGAGAACTAGAAATCGGAGACATTAAGCGGGTCCGCGTTCTGTTGGAATCTGTAACGAAAACGAATCCTAAGCATGCGCCGGGTTGGATTGCGCTGGCGCGTCTAGAAGAATTAGCCGGTAAAATTGTGACCGCCAGGAATGTAATCGCCAAGGGTTGCGAGTTGTGCCCGAAAAGCGAAGATGCCTGGCTTGAAAACATTCGCCTTAACGAGGGCCATAATGCCAAGGTGATTGCAGCTAATGCCATTAAGAACAATGACCGTTCTACAAGACTCTGGATCGAAGCCATGCGATTGGAGACTGAGCCTCGCGCGAAGAAGAACGTTCTTAGACAGGCGATTCTTCACATACCTCAGTCTGTGACGATATGGAAAGAAGCCGTCAACCTTGAGGATGACCCTGCCGATGCACGTCTGCTTCTGGCGAAGGCAGTCGAGATGATCCCACTTTCTGTCGAGCTCTGGCTAGCCCTGGCTCGTCTGGAGACACCGGAGAATGCCCAGAAGGTTCTCAATGCCGCCCGTAAAGCGGTTCCCACCAGCCACGAAGTCTGGGTCGCTGCTGCCCGCCTGCAGGAGCAGATGGGTACCTTCGAGAAGGTAAACGTGATGAAGAGAGCTGTCCAATCCCTCGCGAGAGAAAACGCCATGCTCAAACGGGAAGAGTGGATAGCGGAGGCAGAGAAGTGCGAAGAAGAGGGTGCTATCCTCACATGTGGCGCCATCATTCGCGAAACACTCGGATGGGGCCTGGATGAGGATGACGATCGCAAAGACATCTGGATGGATGATGCAAAGGCCAGTATTGCCAGGGGGAAGTACGAGACAGCCAGGGCTATCTACGCCTACGCGCTGCGTGTTTTCGTCAACCGTCGTTCAATCTGGATTGCGGCAGCTGAACTGGAGCGCAACCATGGTAGTAAAGAAGCGTTGTGGCAAGTCCTTGAAAAGGCCGTTGAGGCATGCCCACAAAGTGAGGAACTCTGGCTGCAGTTGGCCAAAGAAAAGTGGCAGTCCGGCGAGATCGACGATGCCCGGAGAGTGCTCGGCCGTGCCTTCAACCAAAATCCCAACAACGAGGATATCTGGCTGGCTGCTGTCAAGCTGGAGGCCGATGCCAACCAAACATCCGAAGCCAGAGAACTTCTTGCAACTGCTCGACGCGAAGCGGGTACGGACCGCGTTTGGATAAAGAGCGTCGCGTTCGAGCGACAGCTCGGCAACATTGATGAGGCGCTCGATCTGGTGAACCAAGGACTTCAAATCTATCCCAAGGCGGACAAACTTTGGATGATGAAGGGGCAGATCTACGAAGCTCAAAACAAATACCCACAGGCTCGGGAAGCTTACGGAACCGGAACCAGAGCCTGCAACAAGTCCATCCCACTCTGGCTCTTGGCCTCAAGACTGGAAGAAAAGGCCGGTGCTGTCGTCAAGGCTCGTTCAGTACTCGACCGTGCCCGCCTTGCGGTCCCCAAGAGTCCAGAGCTTTGGACCGAAAGTGTGCGCGTTGAGCGCCGAGCAAACAACATTGCCCAGGCCAAGGTCCTAATGGCCAAGGCATTGCAAGAAGTCCCTACCTCTGGGTTACTATGGAGTGAAAGCATTTGGCACCTGGAGCCGCGCGCGCAACGGAAAGCTCGGAGTCTGGAAGCGATTAAGAAGGCCGACAACGATCCAATTCTCTTTAATACCGTCGCGCGGATCTTTTGGGGTGAGCGCCGATTGGAAAAAGCACTCACCTGGTTCGAGAAAGCCATTGTCTCGGATAGTGATATGGGCGACGCATGGGCTTGGTACTACAAGTTCTTGTTGCAGCATGGCACAGAGGTATGTCTTACAGTTATGATTGAAAAGAATAATCCCTTCAGGGTGTACGTGACTAACGATCATCCCCAGGAAAAACGCGCCGATGTAATATCCAAGTGTATTTCGACCGAGCCCAAGCACGGAGAAGTCTGGCAATCCGTAGCCAAAGACCCCGCCAACGCGCTCAAGTCGACAGAAGAAATCTTGAAGATGGTCGCAGACCGTCTGACCTAATTGATGTCATGATGAGGCTTTGCCTTCTTGACCTCGCGTGTTCATCTTTCCTTACGATATCCAGTTCATTGCCCTGGAGGATACGTTGGCGTTTCAGGCGAAGTGAAACAGTGGTTCACCAGCCAACCGCTCTCCGCTTGGTTGGTTTGGCTATATCTTTACAAAACAATTATAACTATAAGGAGGAAACTCTGGAAACTGCATACAGGTCAATATCGGCCTTAGCCTTGCATTAAGAGTGTTGCAGTTGCAGATCAAACCAACCATACAACCAATTGGTCCTGCGCGTGGCGGGGTTGCTGAGACATTTCTCTTGTAGAAGTCTGTCTCATGAGGTCTCTCTTTCTCTCTATCATGATCACCCGGTAAAACGGTTCCCAGCAAGCATATGCAAGCCAAGAATGGAAGACAAGATAATGTACAGTAAATAGCAAACACACAACACGATTCTTCTTCCTATCGTTATTCACCACCAGTTTGCGCCAACAAGCATGTAGATCCTTCACGTTTTCCCCCAGGTATATAGATAGTAAAGAGCGGGCGAACAAGCTGTTCATCCTGATGGATGCCCGAGTTCGGGTTATAAGTAACGTTTTCCTCTAGTCGAGATGACGGTGGGGCCATGCACATCTGCAGATATGTCCAGCGCATGTTGCTTGGGAGGTCAAGATAGGTATGGTACCCTTGTCCTTTCCCAGGTTCTCTTCCACGGGCGGATATAAACCCTGGTTGCAGACGAATATTGATCCAGCACGTCAAGGGATTCGTACGGGGTGTACCAAGTGACCGCATTGGACCACGACCAAGAAAGTAACTTGACTGTGCCCGGTATGGGTGTGACAGCTCGAGGGGTGAGAAAATAAGAAAGAGGGAAGGAGAAAGGAGGGATGGAGGGTAAGATAACTCGGACAGTAGGGAACAAAGAGGAAATTTCAAAAGAGAGAGAAAAGAGGTATAAGATAGAAGAAGAAAAGAGAAAAATCGATACTCTTCGAACTCCGCGCCAGATGCAAAAAATTGACGATAATGGCTTTCCCCCGATGACTCCCAAGACGCCTGTTTCACCTCCTCTGCGAGACCGGGATGATGCGGTGTTTGATCCTGTTTGGATCAAAGTAGCAAGAAACCGGGGTAACAGTGAAGGGGGAAGGAAAAGACAGAAGGACAGAAAGAGATTTTGTAGAAAAGAGAGGCCAGCCAGGGCTGGAGAGGAGCGGAGAATGACTTCTCTCACGAGGCCATTGACAGACACTCATCCAGAAGGGCACCCAATTGCTCCCGATCCGTGACTGTCCCACCTTCCCAGTCGAACTCCGCCTCATCCACGTCCATTTCGTCCATGTAACTGTCGGGCTTTGTGTCGGGGACATCGATCACCTCCTCGACTCGGTCTTGCTTGTCTGTTTCTAACTCATCCTCGAGATACCCACCCATGATCTGATCCACGAGTAGAGGCATATGACTCAGGACACCTCCGCCGAGTTCTAAGGATAATCGGAGATCTCGCACGCCCAAGGGTTTTCGGGTGCTTGCCTCCTTGGCCTCAACTGGGAGAAGACCGGTCGCGCTATCCTTGACGATCTCTCCTCGTGTGAATGCCAATTCCTCACTTTCAAGCTGCTGTCGGTACTTGCGCATCATCATGCCGTTAATTGTGCCTGAAGGGCCGTTCGATCTCGTCCGCGAGAATACCACGGATAGAACTTCCTTGACAAAAGTCTCCGTTGCGATCGCCATGAACTCGGCACAGGGAAGGCTTGCACCGCTGACGATTGATTCCTCGTAGCAAATGGGAACCATACGTGCGTGGATAGATTCGGCGTCCGGAAATTCGCCGGACTCTGACGCCAGAGGCTGTGCATATCGTTTTCGAATTTCGAGTTCCCAGTCTTCGAGGAACCAGAATGGTTAGCGACCTTTGGTCGAGCATATAAAAGCAGACGAGATGCCAGGCATGAACCTACTTGTCTTATTCAACCCGCCCGCACTAGCTGGTACTTGACTTGGCAACTTGATCTGTTTCGCCAAATGATATTCCTCCAGTTCGTTGGGCGCGAGTTCATGGGGGTCACGCTTTGTATAGATCCACCGTCAGCCTTGTACGCGCACATATCAGGGGGGAAGCTGTCGCATCTCTGGATCAGGTCGCATACCTCGGGGATAGCTTTGATTCGTCGACGATCCCGGGGAGGGAGTTGCATAACCTCCGTCTTGAGCCTTTGTTCAGCGGCATCGCCCGATGTCGGCTTTGACACGACGGACGGCTTGTCGTTCGCCGACACCCAGCTTGCGACACCATGATCTGGAAGATCCCTTGTAAGATTGCCGATAATCGCGCATACGAAATTGTTATGTAGATGCTCAGTTTTTTGATCGGCGCATATTATATGATCGACTCGCGACGACAATTCGCTCTGGTTCAGTTGTCCTGTTCGTTGGGAGAGAAGGGCGGCGTCAGCATACGCATTCAGGGTAAAAGTGGGACCGAGGCTTATAAGAAGATAAGAGACAGGAATGTCGAGAACAACAGTATAGCTAGACTCTCGCAAATAGAAAGTAAGATAGACGTGACCATGCACAGACATACCTAGAAGAAAGAGCGAGGTAGCTTCTTTGTATTCGGCCCAATTGTCACCGATGGCGGCCTTCAGCTCGGTGTAGATGGGCTCGAGGTCCAGGCGCGGCACGGAAATGAGGGCTTTGGTAGACTTCTGTGTTGGCGGAGCATTTGGAGCAGTGCTTTTGGACGAGGCTATTGTAGTAGAGGCCGAGTCTGTCCGACTCAGAGCAGCCGGATCGATCTGCATTGTTTGCGAGGGCTCGCCGAAGCGCGACGGGCTGCGCGAAGCCGGGGGTGGGGAGAACTACGCCTTCATGAAGCGCGAGTCATACCAGATCCAGGAAAACCGGAGGCGAAAACGATCGGAGTAAAGCGTGTCAGACGGTGTGGTCGACACGCCAGATGGAGAGACAGTGACAAGCAAATTGATGGGCGATGGGAGGGGGGAGGTGGAAGGAGAAGGGAGGGCAAAGGCAGGCCAGACGGATGAGGAAGTTCGAGGTGGTTAGTTAAGTGGAAGTTGGGTAAGTCTGGGGAAGATGGATTGGATTGAATCCCGCCGTCCATCCACTTGCAACTCAAAGGTCACCCGGTGGTATTTTACTTGCCCACAGACTGGACTTTCTAATTTATTATTATATATTTTTTTGTTCCAAATTAAGTCATTGTCGTCGTTTATTTACTTTGTAGCTTCTTTTACTTGACAAGGGCAATCTGCTTTTCTACGGCATCCCCCGCGCGCACTTGGAAAGATGACCACCGCGACTCTCTCTCTCTCTCTCTCTCTATACCTCTCACCGCCTTAGTCTCTTTGAGCTATAACCATAGGCAAATACACCCAATAAAAGAGTGATTTACAAACACCAGAATCAATCTCTATTATTCTCCTCACTAGGAATACAGCTTCACTGCATCCTCATGTAGGACCCCGAAGAGCCGGCTGATCTCACCCATGATCGCTTCAATCTCCACCGAAATTTGCCCCGTCACCAGAACTGTAATCGCGTCTAGAGTCAGCCATGTTTCCTTTCATTATTCCAATGAAAATAAGGGGCTCCGTAACGTACTATAGGCGTAAAGTAGGGCATAGTCTTCGTCTGTTGATAGCCGTGACGTTTCAATGTCCTTGCGATAGTGAAAGAGCCGTGCGAGGAGCCGATCTCGTGCATGCTCCACGCTGGGGAGGACGTCGCTCAATGGATACTCCAGCTTCATCGAGGAGGCCATGACTATTGCATTCGTCAATTACCAATAATCAATGGCTACATTCGTGAAACTTACCAGATAGCAGATGGCTAATGCGGGAGGATAATTGCTGCCTTTCTTTTACTGTATACTGAAGTATAGCGAGTTCCCCTTCCGATGCGGTCATATTCTTGACCAACTCCAGGTTGATGGCGACAAATGCATCCACCAGGCTTCGAGTGCGCCGCAAAATATTGCCATAGCTGGCATCCTGGAAGGCGCTTTTCAACTCAAACTCAGATCGCGCAGAGGCTTGGAGGGACTCCAGATGCGACAGGAACCGCTCCACCTCCAACTTCTCCCGAGCACTCATGAAGCCTGCAGTCTCTTGGGGGAAGGCCATTGTGGACAAAGGACCGCGCTTCCAGATCAGACTCATCCGTAGCCATAATAGGCTCAGGCCCTCTTTCAACCTTTCCCGGGCGCTGATCGGCCATATGACTCGCGTGATGATGATACCCCACACGCAGCCTGACAAAACCGCCGCCACTCGGTGAAGGGCGATTTCAGTAATGATTGGGCTATCGCCCCCTTCATCTTGGTCGTCCCTGCCTTCCTTCTGGGTAAGTGAGTAGGCGTATAGCACTGAGAGGTTGTAGGTGAGCATGATAAACCGGCCCATTGGACCTTGGCCGCGGACAATGATGAGGTAGAAGTTCCAAGTGGCCATGAGCAACCCCAGGAAAGCGAGAGCGAACACGTTTTCTGCACTCACGTACCATGAAAGGATGGCACACAGTGCCCCCAGGCATGTACCAAAGAACCGTGCATACCCCGTAGTATTGGAAGCACCAATCGTCATGGAACATACCAACATGTAGGACAAGAGCCCCCATTCACCTCGCCAATGGGAATAGAAGGGCCGAGTAGATTGGAGGAATGACGGCAAGGCATATAGTGCAGCGCCTGCTCCGACTTTGATCGCGAATTTGGTATCGTCGCGGCGGAAGAACCCCAGCGACCTCCATATGCGATAGCCGAGACGCTTCTCGGCGGCAGAGGTAACTCTCTCGATCTTGGCCGGTGAAGGGCTAACAGATGACTCCGGTGAGCTGGTCATATCCCGCCGAGGTGCTGCGCCTGTGTCATCAGCCGTTGGAGCCAACGACTGCTCCATGTCATTCTTCCTCGTTCCAGGGCCACCCCATCGCCAAAACTTAAGCCAGCTCCAACATCTCCCTGTCGGTCTTTCCTCACTTTCCAGTTGTAGTTCATCCAATATATCTAAAAGCTCTTTTAATTGCTCACCAAACTCCAGCAAAGAGAAACTGAAGTGTCCACAGCTTGCAGAAACCTCTTCCAAATCAGCTTCAACTTCTAGCTCTTGTACCCCGGTGAGCTCGCGTTGTCTATAGATGGTCTTGAGCGCTTCTTCGCGCGACTGTCTATAGAGCTCAAGCGCACGATCTAGACTCGTCCGGTAGCGACTGTTGACGGAAACTCTAAATTCAGGCGCGGGAGTGAACGGGATGTCTCTGAATATTTCTTTTAGGGTAAACGCAAGCGAGCGCTGTGGACTATTAGCATTCACTGATCTCCGCTTCATCTATCGACATGATAGCTCACCATAGAAGGCCCTAAATGGCTGATAAAGAGGGCAAATATATCTGCCGGATGCAGAGGATTCGTTGGGTTACCATTGGCGTTGTTCATATCAGCAGCCCCGAGTCTGTCTTCTTCGTCTGGTTGCTCATCGATTCGTTCCAGGAACGGCCCATCTTCATGGAGTGACCACGGACTTATCAAGGGCATAGGGCCGGTTTCGGGGGCGTGACTCTGTAGCTGTGCGAGCTCCGTTGGTTTGAGCAATTGGAACTGCAGATGGGCTGCACTGCGTAAACCACCCATATTATGAGTGATGTCCTGCACCCAACGAACTAACTTCTTCTCCAGTCGGTACTCTTTTTCCGTGCCTGCCACAAAATGCTCAAGCTTCGCCTCCCTTACAAGCTTGTCTAGCTGCGCATATGCTTTTTTATGGCGCGCAGCCGTGTTGGTGAACTCTTCAGTCTGGAGTTCCTCTTCGGAGCCACTGAGGAAGCTTTCAGTGATCAGAGCCAACATTGTCGCCAAGCTTTCAGTGACAGTAGTCAAGTTGGATCGGAGCTTTTTGCGTGCGGATATGGGGAAGATCAGAAAAGACACGGCCATTGTGATGGTGACTCCCATCACGACCATCTTAAGAACCTGAGAGATCTTCGCAAACGATAGATCCCCACTTTGTACTGCACCCTCCTTAGTTAAGACAGTTATGGTCGACAATGAAGCTAGGGAGCATGCGACGTTAACAAGCGGATCGCCGAGTCTCTGTTTCGTCCAACCAATGAAGCCTAGCCCGCCGCCGCAGAATACAATGAGCACGACGGCATGTCCCACGGGGAGCATATGTAAAGTGTCCTGAAAGAACATTGAGACACACATGCTGGTGAGAGAGATGAAGGCAGCATAAAGGAAGGCAAGAAAGGCACAAATCAAAGCCTTGTACATGCCGCCCTGCGATCTCGCTGGATGAAAGTAGACCGTGACGGTAGCAACCATATGTTTGCCATCTTGATGGCCCAGGAACGACGCAATGGCCGGGACAAAGGTCGCGAGTGATCCAAGCAAGTAAGCTAGACTGCACTTCAAAACGCCAATTCCTAGCTCCGACGAAACGAACTCATGCATCCAGGGCCATGTATGTTGAAGTCCATACCAGAGCCGTGCTGGGAGGCTCTTGGGGCACTCGATGACATTTCTGGGGAGAAGTGGCCGTCGTTCATCGTTGTCGCTATCCCCATGTGGGTCAGGATATGGGTTTCGTAGATTAATGAGGCCCTTGAGTCGCTGGCCCGTTCTCGGTAAGACGAAGGTTGCGTAGCGTAACTGAGAAAAGCAATATGGATCAGCAACGCGACATAAGCTTCTTCTATTCCCCGTGCTGACAGGCGTTTTTGGCAGGGTCGGGGATGCACCGTTAACCCGTAGAGGTTGAGGCAAGGGGAAGAAGTCTAGGCCAAGCAACCTAGCTAGCTAGATAGTAATGCTAGCTAGGTAGTGGTTGGAGATAGCTAGCTATGCAGCTTACCTTCTTCGGGCGCAGAAAGCGCCGGGCACCGCTGCTCGATGAGTCGCCCGGCAGAGACATGATCTGTTTACCTCATTTTCCCTTCCCAGTTTCCACTCGAGCGTATAGAGGAGACTGCCGGAACTGGCGACACTGGAACAGGAACAGGAACAAGGCCTTGTTCCACCATGATCTTGTGCGCCGGTGGAGAGCTTGGAAGGTCCGGTGACCAATGCGAGCGGGCATTGCGACGAGACTCACGCACGGGTCACGCCCGCGTCATCCCAGCCCGCTTTCTACACTCTGAGATGCCTCTCTACAAACTGGTAACATTTGAATAATGACTTGAACTCAGAAAGCCAGAGAATTAAAACTAAGCAAATACATTGTGGACCAGCCAAAAACCTCAAACGTTCACTATACACTTTGGCATATTCTCTATAAGTCGGCCTCTTCTCTAATTGAGACCTTCCACTTTCCATACCTTGACTGCCGCATCAGCACCAGCTGAGGCAATCTTAGATCCTCCGGCGATCCAGGCAACACCATTCACGCCTTCTTTGTGAGCGTTAGACACCTGAAGCCAGTCGCCGGGCTTGGACAAACTCCAGACGAAGATGTTGGTATCCAATGACCCGCTGGTCAGGTGGTTATTGTCGTCGTTCCAGGCAAGTGAAGTAATTCGAGAAGTGTGCGCCGTCCAACGATCAGTAACAAGGCTACCGTCTGCGACCTTGTAAACAAGGATGCGACCCCGAGAGTCGCCCACAGCCAGGAGAGATCCGTCGGGGGAGAAAGATAAGGCAGACACCGCATTCCGCGTGGCCTTGATGGTAGCCTTGGGGGAAAGGCTCGAGGCCGCGATATCCAAGATCTGGACGGTCGCATTTTCACCTCCGACAGCTGCAACGTTGCCATGGGCCGCAACCGCAGTGACTGGGAAGTCAGGCTTGAAG